ACATAAGTGAGAGAGAATGGAATGAAGTGATACCAATCAGAACAGACAAAGGATGCACAATAGAGATTCAAGAAGTGTAGTTTTTTCCTAAAAGTCACTATATCCTCTCGAAGATAAGTTCATATGATTCCGTACCAATCCTTGAGACTTTACCTAGACTCGACTTATACACACGTGAGACCAATGAACCTAGGATCGGATACCATTTTGTCACGATCCAAAAATGGACATGATGACACTCGTCTTATCCCACCAAGACAAGTCAGCTTCAAACTCAACCATTATAATAAAGTGACTCAAAGAATGATGTTAAATCAAATGTACTCAACATTATTTATATTCTTGAGAATTGAGAAGTGTTTTAAGGAGGGGAAAAGAAGTAACCACAACTATTATGGAACAATGGTTAAGGTCTAAGATAGTATCTATAATTTTGGTTCCTTGTTACTAATAGATAATTTCTTATTTTTCTTTGACGAAATTTAGTGGTTTCCATATTGGTAATATCTAATCGAATATTTTCTTTAGGATATATTCCCTTTGTTTTGCATATATATACAACCAAAGGTTGAATCTTCTTTCACTTTGTCAATAATGTTGACATATCTAGACAACCAAAGGCTGAATTTTCTTTCACTTTGTCAATAATGTTGACATAACTAAAGGTTCCTGGCAAGGATAGAACATTTCTTGAAGCAAATTACGCTACTTTGAGTAAAGTTCTTAAGAGTATCTATGTCGCAAATTTCGCTAGGAGGGAAATAGATCTCATCTTTTTCCTTAAATCAGGCTTGTGATTTCTAATCAAAGTGATTTTTGCTACATATTAAACATAGATCATGTATGGGGATAGCTTGCATGTGGAACATTAGAGACTTTTGTTCTTGATAAAGTAAAAAGTGTTTTATTAACAGTTATATGTTTGAACAACGTATCGATTCCTTGCTGGTTGCATGGGCTGCAATGAAGAATGATGGGATTTCTCTAGTTTTACTATGTGTTGTAATGTACTAATGTTATTTCCTTGTGTGCAGAACAAGATTTACATATGCTCCCATATTGAATTTCACATTTTGTTGGTACCTTTTGAAGTTGGTTGATATAAAATTAATGTCTATGGAAAATTTCAATTACAAGGATCGGAATAGTTATTTAAGATCTATTCAATGTTCATAATCTTAGAGCAACTAATTATCTAGAAAATAATAATTCTTATCTGATTCTTGAAAAGAAAAAACTTTTGCTCTTGATGAATAACATTAAATTAAACATAATTCATAAATATGACCCTTAACATGGCTTTAGTGGAGAACTATGTCCTCCAATTTTGAGCGTGCACAAGTTTACACTTAAACATGTATAAAATTGAACAAGTAGATAAACTCATATGTCCTACATGAAGTAATACACATTGTACGCCACATAGGACACAATTTCCATGTAGGGTTCTATGTAGAATAAATGTATCTTTTGTTCAAATTCAGACAAGTTCAAGTGTCTACTTGTGCAAACACAATAATCGATAAAATATACTCTTATTTACCGTATTTGAGTTTTATTTTTCTTTTGAAGGAAAGCCAACCATAGTTGCTTTTACTTTTTTAAAAAGAAAAATATAATTTTCTTACATATTTGGTTTATTATTTCCTTAGAAAAAAAAGTTGGAACTCTATAAATTAAAGACCCCTCTTTTCGTACCACATCAAATTAATAGAATCTACTATGTAATCATTAAAAAGTTTTGTTAAAAAGGAGATTATTCTCCTAATAGAGTTTATATTAGTTTTCATGTGTAGGTCAATTGATCAAACCATATTATAATATTATGTTTTTATTATAAGTTTTTGTCATCTAATTTATCACAAACACGATTTGCAATTGTAAGCTTCCGTATGACGCCTTTATTTCTTTAGAACTGAACAGTTTGAGGTATTTTTGAGGTTAAAAAATAGTTTTGTAAGAATTAGAGTTAAAACATAATGGAATCGATGGGTCTTTTCTCAAATGACAATGACATAGAGGAGTCAAAATTTTAATATATAATATAAATAAGTCTTTTCTAAAAGTTAGATATTATATTTGAGCACAAGCTTAGATTCAACTTGCTACTGACTAAATTGAGATGTAGGGCGTGAAGATGAACTACTCTGACACTATGAAGCTATTAGACTGAAAACTTCGATGGAGACTTAATTTTTTTTTAACTCGAGTAAGAAAACTACGTTAATTAAAAATAAGAGGCGCTTTAGAAGAGACATCATGCGTCCACACATACTTTTAACCACAATGACAATACATGCAAGAAAACTAGATTTAAAAGTTTAAATTAAAACTAAAAATAGTTGAAACCACATATATTTTTTTAGTTGCAACATAACATCACACAGTTTAAAATTATTCAAGCAAAGTACTTCAAAATGATTAAATTAAAGCAAATCATTTTTATTTTAAAGGAGCTCTGCAAGGAATTCCCTTCCTCTTGCGCTTCCGCTTCGTCTCAGCAATCTTTCCCCATTTTGCTTCCACCTACAAATTCCATGATAACATATATTATTCATAAAAATATTTGTGGATTGAAAGTGCAAATGTATAATAATATTTTATCTGCCTCAATTTAAGTATCTCATTACTTTTTTTATGTGTTTCAAAAACAGGGGGTTTCCCCAAAATTTTGTATAAAGAACTCAAATACAATATAACAATAACTACTTCTCAACTACATTAATAAAATTAAAGTTCAATTACAATTTCAAAAGTTGATATAGAAATATCAAAAGTAAGACTAGGGGTGTGTTTGGTATGAAGAAAAATGTTTTCCATGGAAAAAGTTTTCTTAGAAAATGTTTTCCTGGAAAACAAGTAGATTTTGGATTCATTTTTCTCATGTTTGGTTGGTGAGTAGAAAATATTTTCTAGAAATGATTTTTAGTGTTTGATTTATGAATGAAAATGTTTTTTGAGAAAAATCTTTTATTTTTACTAGAGTAGAAAATAAATTATGAAATTGAAAATATTTTTTAGAAACAATTTTTTTGGGGGGGTGTGGTGGGTGGGTGGGGGGGCGCGCTGGCGGGGGTGGGCAGGGGTTAGGTGAAAAAATAATATTTTGAAGTTGAGAATACTTTTTAAAAATAATTTTTTTGGAGGGCGGTGCTGGTAGGGGGCTAGCGGGGGGAGGGAGGGAGGGAGGAGTTTTAAAATAAAAGTATTTTAAAAAACGACCTCAAATTTTTTTTGGAAGGGGTAGGGGTGGGGTGGGGGTGGGGGGCTGGTCAGTGGTGGGTGAGTGGGATGGGGGTCAGGGATCGGGTTAAAAATATATATTTTGAAATTGAAAATATTTTTAAAATTTAATTGTTTTGCCAACAAAATGTAATTTGAAGTTGGAGAAGAGTTTTGAAAAATGTTTTCTTTAATGTTTAAAGGGAAGTCATTTTCCTTAATTTTGTGGAAAATGAGTTGATTTGGAAAATATTTTTCAATACTTTTGTCTCAACCAAATATGAGAAAATTGGAAAATATTTTTCATAAATTGTATTCATTCATACCAAACACACTCTAGAGATTTGGGTAGAACTAGACTTTCATACAACAATAAGTCTAATCTATCTTTCCAACTTCTCTACCTTTTTACTAGTTGCTATTTGGGTATGATTATCAATTCAACCTTTGTGAAGGTCTTTTGATCTTATTACTTCTTGTTTACCTAATACCTGATTCTGTGATGTAAAGTTCCATGTTTGACTGAGATTGATTCATAACATTTAGTACAGTTATATCTTTACTCATAATTTGACTATAAAATACTCACTTTAGCTTTAATGAGAGATTTTGGACCAAAAATTTTAAGTCTTTCTTTCTTTCATAAAATTCATGTCAATTCGAACAATATCACATAAATTATGAGAGAGGGAGTACGTTTTTTTAAATTTTCACATTCTATTTAGGATTATTCAACAACAACAATAACATATCTAGTGAAATTTAACAACTAAGGCCTAGAGAGAGTAAAATGTACTCAACCTTACACACTACCTTGTAAAAGTAAAGAGACTGTTTTTAATCAAGCATAGTTTCCAGAATTTCAATTTCAAAAAATATTAAATAATAAAATAAAAATCATTGACAAATAACCACTAAATTTGAAATGGAGGGAGGGATAAGTACCTGGCAAGCAATGCTACAGAATTGAAACCGTTCAGGGTCATGCAATCTCCTTTTACAAGTGAGACAAGTAGGATCTCCAACAATTAATGAGCCAGACCCAGAATGTGGCAGAGGATTCAAAGCAATTATCCATTTCTTGTTGCATTTGTATGTCTGCACATAGAAAATTATATAGATCTCATCACTAACATATAGATGTTAATTATGTAAAAAGAAAATAATAAATTGTTGTAAGACTTTATATACATGTGTGAAATAAAAATGTCTGCATTTATATATCACTAAAGTTCAACAAAAAATAGTTGAACTTCATCTATAAGTACATGAACTTCAGGCAAACTCAAGAAAATCAACCATATGGATCTTAAGTTCTAAGAGAAAAAGATTAAAGTTTAGTCATTTTGTCCAAGCTCAATTCCAAACACAGTATGACTTAATTAGTGGATCCAATTAGAGATGGCTCAAGAAAAGAGCTAGTAAAACACTTGCTTTTAGACAAAAGGCTCCCAAAAAATTAGTAATCGTTTTACGAATTTTTATAACTTAAAACAAATGATTATAATAAAAAGTACAAATTTTATGCATGTATGTATGTATAAAAAACTATTTTCTTTTATCATAAATATTTTACAACTTTGAACTAAAATCTCAACTTTTATATTAATAAATAAAACTTTTACAACAACATTCAAAATAATAACAACTGATTAACATCTCATTAACTTATATTTAATTATCATTCAAATGTTTAAATAAGTTAATGTCTGGAGCATCAATTCATAACAAAAATATGCAATCTTATTTCATTTCTAGTTGTAACTGTCTATATCAATTTAATTTACCTGAATTAGTTTGCAGTCAATATACTTCTTCATCTGCTCGACAGGAACAACGTCTTTGTAAACATGTCGATAAATCTTTAGCTGGTCATGATCATTGTGTTTGTTTGTAGCGATGCAATACCTGCATAAATCAGAATCACATGTGATACAGTACTTGCTCCTTTGATTCTTTTGAAGTCCATCATGCACCAAACATTCCCCAAAGAATGTCTTCTTCAAAAGTGGTCCTAGCCATGTTGGCATACTCCTGCTAGGTTTCAATTCCCCCTGCAAATATAATCATTACAATAACAGATTATGATATTTTTCAAGTGATCTGATTGGATTGCAAAAGTTTTTTCTCAATTTTTAAAATATAGTAAACTAATATTATCATCATATATACATAGTACAAAAAAAATAAAAAATACCTATCAAGCTAATTATCTTTTGAAACAGTGTTTCTCATTATTTGAACAGTAAATTACTTGAAACGATATTATCATCAAACATACACATATCAAAAGAACTTTGAATAAAATAACATATTTATCAAGCTAAGTATCTATCAAGTATCTCATCCAACAATTGTTTAATGAAGATTCATGAACTTTAAAGGTTTAAAAATCTACTAAGGTTTGTTTAGGAATGAACCAAATCCAATCCATTGATGGGACTTAGCTAGTTTAGAGCTTAAGTTTTTGGAGAAACAAAGACTTCACTTCTTTCTAGTTAAGGTTCTAAGAACATCTACCTACATTTTATCTATAATAAAAAATGTATATTAACATTTTCCTAGGATACTATTGAATGATGAAAAACTTATAGTGTAATAGAAAAGAGAAACACTTTCATAAAATTCTGAGTTGATGACAATATCCATGTCAATGATTATTAAAGAACAAAAAAACATGAACCAAATCATATATATATTTTTTCGTCCACTTTCTCCTTAATATGTTGTCTGTGCGACTTAAAATGATAGTTTGATATGCAGACTAAATTATCTCGAGAATATAATTTTAATTATAATTCTTAAACTAATTTATCCAATATGGAATCTGGAATAAACTACTTTCAAAATAATCTCAAACTTAAGCATGAGATATTTCATCTTATCTTGCACACCGAACAATCCTATTACTCATGGAATTTGTTTAAACCCCATCCGTTATGTTTCCATCACAGAGAGAAACCACATCACCTATAGCTTTTGTGACAGATCATTTTTTAGAGAAACATTTGGTACATTCAAAACACACTAATTTAGAATTGGGACACATAGATTCCATAGAAGGGAAAATTTCCTTAGCAAGCTTTCTCCATTTACAAGGTTCATATGAGATATTGGTTAAGAATTAAGAAATTTCATCTGTCTGATCACACCCTTGATGATGCACTCCAATTATAGAAGGAAGGAAAGTTGTGTAGAGCTAGGGTCACTCACCTCACAAAACTTGAAAGAGGTGACATTGGTTCAATAAATTAATGATTATAAGACTCAAACAAAATTTTTACGACGTGTGAGCTTGATTCTTTTTATTTAGTCATTCATATGGAAGTACCAAATAAATGAATGACTATGAGACTTGAGTAAGCTTTTATTTGATATCAGAAATTTGGACGGTTCATCAAGTCTTTTATTGCCTCACCTCCCTAATAGGAATAGGGGTAATTTACAAATAGGGCTAATAAATTTGTCAATCAAAATATAAGGAACTAATAATTAATGTTTCTTCATTCGAAGTAAATTCTTTCAAACTCAAAATACACTTAAGATAGAGGAGTACCCTTGACAACAATGGATCTCCTACCAAGTATATAAATAGGCTTATTGAAGGTTCCTATTGACATCCATTTAATAGAAATCAAGCCTGCTAATTCATCTAAAACGAGTCGGGTACTTTCACATAACTAACACAGAACTATTATTTTCTCTTACATCCTACTATACATGTAACAGAGTCTAGAGATTACATATGAATCAAATTTTGTTTTACTTCATCTTTTTATATTGATTTATCAAGAAGATGATGATATATCTATAGGTTGAAAAGAGGGTTTGAAGCAAAAAGATAAGACCCTAACATACTAGGAAGTTGGTTTGTAGAAAATAGGAAGTTGGCTTGACATGGTTCGGAGTGTTGTTGAAGTATAACTAGGGTCTCAAAATACATATCCCAAATTAAGAGAGAGAAGCTCAGATCAAGTCCACGGCAAGTTGAAAGAAATAACTCAACAAAGATATAGAGAATAGGGTTTTTGGAATGATTTAGGGTAAAATGGTGATTTCATTCTATATCGTGAGAGTGCTCCTTTTCTAATGTGAAAAGAAGTAAAATGAACAACTAGAATAAAAAACCGTTCTAGTACATGACTCTAGAGTAGATTATAGTTAAAATTACACAATCGTTACACGTTTAATTTTACGATACAAAAAAGTTATTAAAGCACACAATGACTCCTGCCTCCCCTATTACATGCCAAGAAAATGAGACATTATATCCTTTTACACATTAATACTTGCCTAAAAATTGACATTTCTTTTCCTGCCAAAATTATTGGGATAACAACATTAGTGGATAACATTTCAGGAATTGGTACGATATATTTGTAAAAGAAAATTTGGGGTTGATGATTCAATTTTCTTCTTGTATTTTATAATTTTGAACTACTTAAGCATATCATCATACAGTGCAATTAAAAAATGTGTAATCATAGTATACCTAGTGCTCTCTAACTCTTGTTTTATTCATGTTTGCTAATAATTAGAGGAGGTTTGTTACCTTATTAGGATATCTAAGTAAGATCTAGTCCCCTAGTTATATATACTTATTCTGACTAAGAATGTTTTAATTTTATTTTATTAATAAAAAAACTATGCGACGTGGTATAAAATAGCCAAAAAAAATCTTTTATTTTGTAAAAACATGTATACATATCTTACAAGAAATAGTTATCAAGAAAGACTTCAAAATATAAAATAAAGAGTAAATTTAATGATTGAAATATTTAACTGTTACATCACTCAATTATACCATCTAATTAGAAGAAATTCTTGACTGATTAGAAATTTTGTTATTGAAATAAATCTTAAATAACTATAAAATGTAATTCTCTCATAAAATTAGTCTAGAAAATTTTCCAATATATTATCATCTTTAGTTTTATAAGAATAAAATAATAGCACAACTTCATAAAGTAGATCTAAATTCAATTTCTTGAAAATTCGCCCTCTTTTATACAAAATCAATTAAGAGGTTATCAAACACATAGTCAGCCTCATGAAATTTTATTAACAACCAAAGGAAAAAAAATTCTATTTTCTTTTTGAGATATAAATGCATAAACAAAATGGTAAGAATTAGATCTCACACAAAAAACACAGAAATAAACAATCAATTTTGAATGAATTAAACCAAAGAAATAGTGATTGAAAATTAATAACACTACACATATATATGTATGTACCTGCTCATTTGTTTCAAAAGGTGATGAATCAGTGCTACCCATATTTTTTGTTCCACTTTTCTCCTCTCTAGAGTGTATCAATTTTTTGAAGAAGACATATAAAAACTAGTAGTAGAATTTTATTACAAATATATTGTTCCCTTGAAGTGTACTTAGTTTGCAAGAAAACAATTGAAGTAATAAAGACAATTTTTTTAGTCAAATAAAATTTAGTTTAGAAGAACATAAGGACAAATTTGGGCCTCCAATTTTATAATTGTCCGTTATATTTCAGGAGACAATAAAGATATGTTCAATGAGGTAATGAGGAAAATTTTTACCAGTTTTAGCCTTAAGATAAGAGGCGATAGATCCAAGAGATATTTTCAAATTGATAAAACCTAGAGTTAATGAGGTCAAATTGTATATATGTATGTAATGGGTAATATTGTCATTTCATTTTGCTTGCCAAATAATGTGATAACAGAAAGATTTTGTAAATCTATGAATTTTTTATCCTTTATCTATTCTAGTCCTCCTTTTAAACTTTCTCACTTAATGTATCTCCAAGTAAGGGGCTTGTACACATCTATGATTTTACCATATATGAGGTAATTAGACTTAGTAAATTTGAAATCAAGGAAAAATTAGTAATTGTGTGTGTTAATTAAGATTTATACTTAAAAGGGAAAGAAAATAAAAGCAAGAGGTAATTCATTGATTCCCTCTTTACATGTCAAGCTTGTTAATGATTCAACAATATTTTCTTGAGATGCAACTCATAATATAAGTATGTGATAAATGGTCATCGAATCCATTAACAATTGTTTAGGTGGAAACTTGTTGATTTGTCAATAAAGTTATGTAATGTAAATTAACAAGAAAATATTACGTATAAAATATAGAAATACGCTTAATTACATAAGGCCTTCAAAAAATACTAGCTAGCCAAAATCTAGCCTCTTAAAGGTCAGTCTTAACCGTTCCGATTCTAAGTCAGATTGGTTTACCTTTAGGTCTGATTTAGGGGTTAGGGTTTTAAGAGAAAATACTAGTTAGCTCAACCCTTGCCTCTTAAGGGGTTAGTCATGTTTAATGGGTTAAACTAATTTTTTTTTCATACTATATTGTAACTTTGTATTAATATTTGAAGTTATGGAACTTTGTACTTTGTAAGAGGACGTAAGTTATGAATTAAACCTCAACGGGTTAATAGCTTTCAAATTTTATTGATAAAAATTTTTTTGTATAAAACTTAGAACAGGATTTACTATTTGAATGAAAAAAATAGAAAAATCAAAAGAAGATAGAAGAAGAGAAATTAAATTCAAACTCTAGATGTATGTATCACCGAACCTACCTTCTTGTCAAGCTCTTTAAATATAGGATCATTATTAACTATCAATATCATGTTTAACAAAATTTTCATTGAACTCTGTATGTACCCTCTATTCGATCATATAATAACCTCACACCATTTTCTTTATTTCCAGGGGCTAAGCACATGAGGAGGTTGGACACAATCTCTTATCAAAGTGCTTAAAAATACTTTTCAAATAATTAGCTAAACATAAATTATTATTTTTCTAAAAACTGATTTTAAAAAAAGTGTTTCTCAAAATAAGAATATTTTGGCCATTTGAGCTAGAAATGAAAAATTACTTGTATAGCTCCATGTGTTCTTAATGCTTTTAATTGGACCAGAGATAGTCAGTTAAGTAAAGTCGTCAATATGGGCTAGGCCCATTGGGTCGGTCTGACCTAACTCGTGATTTATTAAGGGTGAATTATGATTTTCGGAGTTCATTTAAAAAAAAGAGTTTTTTAGCCTAGTCTGAATAAGTTTGTGGATTTGTGGGGCTTGAAAAATATAGATAGAGTCAACTCATGGACCAAAAAATACTAATTTAAATTAAAAATTAAATAGTGTATTAAAAATAACAAGTATTTAAACTCAAAATTTGTTTAAAGTTCGGAATATTACAATTTAAATGCAAATTATGTTTATAATAACATATATACTACATAAAACAAAAACTACCTAAAATTTCTAGGGAATTAATAAATAGGTCGTAACCTATGGAATATTGTCATAATTTTTGTGTTTTATTATGATCATTGAAAAACAATTAGGTTAATATTTCTATTTAGTTATTTATATTTTTATTTGAAATCAAACATAATAAATATTATAAAGATAATGTTATTTGTGGATTTAGTTAAAAAGCACTAATACTAACACTAACACAATGTAATATTGTCTTATCGATATTTATGATAATATTTTTAAACTATAATTTAATTTAAAAAATTAGAAAAGAAATATTTCAAAACCCGTAAATTTCAAAGTCTGCATGAATTAGCTCAGATGGGGTGGGTCAACTGTAATGACCCGGAAGGTCATTTTCGAATATTTTTAATATTAGTGTAACTTGAGTTAATTAATCGATAGTTAAAGGGCTAAAGTGATAATTTATTTAAAACCATGGGCTACTTGACCCATATATATTAAAATAAGTTAGTTGATTTCAACAATTATATTATTATAACTTTAAAAAAAAACAGGGAGGCATGACATGCCGTAGGTCAAAGACGACAAACACAGGTATGAACTAACCCTTTTCATTTGTTTTCCTTTTCAATTGTTTATGTTAGTAACATGCTTAAGAAATTGAGGGTTTGGAATATATATATACCAATAATGACAATAAAAGTGACATTTACTAATAAATTTGGAATTTGAATCTATAAGGGGTACAGTAATTTATAGGTTATGTTTGTGATCTGTTGGTTTAGGGGAGCATAAAGTTAACGAGAATGATGGACAAATTATTATCCAAATCATTAGGAAAAGGATACGATAAAGGATGAATTTAGCATATAGTTAATTTCAGGCATATATAGATTTTGTGACTCAATTCTAGGGGTCTGTGGTTTAGGTATTGCCTTGTTACTTGACTAATTTTGGATTTCTATTGATAGTTATCACATTATAATTAAGGTTTTGATATAGTAAGATAGGTAATTGAATATTAAGAATATGATATTATATGAATACCATTCGAATTATAATATTGAAAAAAAATTAGGACTAAATCTTAGGCTTAAAGCTTGAAAAATATGATTTTTAAAATGATAATTGGCATCAAGATTTACGAATTTGATTATAAACTTGGATGAATTTTTGTATCAAGGATAAACACTTAAGTAACATGGGTGTTGTTAATGTTAAAATCTTATTGTGGTAAATTGTTTGGATAGATTGTTCTGATTTGGAGCCCATTGAAAGGGGGGAAGACTCAAGTATCGAAAAGATTGTTCGACTAAATGATGCAAGTGGATTTCTAAACTCTTGTTAAGTGTATGAAATGTGTGTATGTCCTTGTGGTATATGTTGGGAGTAACGGGATTTGTGATGAGTTGACTTGTCCACATTAATTAATTCTAATGATGAAAAGAATGGGGATAACAAAAGGCAATGTGATTAATTGTTTATGTGTGTTGTGTTGAGAAAGGGTTGAAGGCTTGTTGAATCATTGTTGATGTAACTTCATGTTTGTGTGGTTGTGAACTGTGCGATGTTATGAAAATGGTCATCTCCTCATTATATGTGTGAACTTGTCATCTGCATTATTCTAAGGCATTGGTTGTGGCAAGTGTAATGTGCATTGAGAAATAATGGGTTCTTAAGATGATGTACCATTTCGAGGGACGTATCGCGCGCCGCGATGGATACTATATTTCGAGGGACGTATCGCGTGCCGCGATGGATACTATATTTCGAGGGACGTATCGCGCGCCGCGATGGTTACTATTATCGAGGGTCGTGTCGTGCGCCGCGAAAGATACATGGACAGAAATGTCCCCCATGAGTCACGGACTGAGAGACAGCAGGTGTGTATCACTAGGTCAGACATGCATCATTATACTTGACATTGCATCCCATTGCAGTGCACATATTTATCATTAGTGAACTTGATATCGTGTTTTGCTGATCTTCTGATTACCTTTCTGTGGAACTTGTGATTGATCAATATTGAGCTTGTTAGTGCGGATATGTAATTTGTTGAAGTGTTGTTGTTGAGGATATGTAATTTGTTGAAGTGTTGTTGTTGAGGATATGTAATTTGTCTAAATTTTGTTGAGCTACGTGCTATGTAAACTGTGAGTTGTTAGGTTGGGTTGATTTTTAATGCAGGTTGTAGTTGTGGAGGTTCGGTTGGGGGTGGTAGAGTACCCGTATTTCATCCCCTTAGCTTGTGTTAAGAGGTTTACTTGCTGAGTACCGTGTGGTTTGGTACTCACCCCTTGCTTCTACAAATTTTTGTAGGTTATGAGCCTGGATTTTTGTTGTACTTGTCATTCTCTTGTTTTCCGAGGCTTCTTGGAGATTTGTCACGTAGCTGTTTCCATCACAGCAGACTTTCTTCTCCTTAATTATGATCTTGTTCTATTATAGAAACAAGTTCATTTGAAACTTAAGTTTTTCTTTTGAATCAATTGTGATACTTTAGAGGCTTGTACACGTGACTACCAGGTTTTGGGGGTTTTATTAAGTTACTTATATTTTATTTCCGCACTTTATTGTAATGATTAAGTTTTAGGCTGACTTATCTTGGTGGGATAAGACGAGTGCCATCACGTCCATTTTTTTGGGTCGTGACATCAACCCATATAGACAGCTCTATAATTAAGTAGTCTTGTTAGTGTCCGAGGAGCTAATATTGACTCCTTATTCAAGGTTAAGTACTTGACACATGATTAATTAATGTGGTGGATAAGTATCTGCAATTTATTGTTTCTTCAAATAATTTGTTTTTTCTATTTTTCATATCTCGTGTTTTCTTTGCTTGTGAGACCATTGAAAATTTTACTTATTTTCTAATCAGATTTATCTTTGTTAGATTTTGAATCAAGAAACAAATATTTAAAAAATGGTTCGAATTTGCTTATATAACGATAAAAACTTTAATTTCTATCACTTTTAGTCATCTACCCGAAAGGATATAGAAATCAGTCACAGTAATAAGTCTTTTCTCTAAAGATTTGTTTCTGGCAAGTTG